AAGTAATCGAAAGAAACAGTATGAAAGCTAGTGTGTTGACCGGCGGTTGCTCCAAATATTTGCAGTGAAAACGAAACAGTGAGAGAGACCAATCCAAATGCATGGCGAACCATTACCTGCCCTTGCGTCGCCTCGGCCACAGATGGCTGCCATATATATCAAAGTGTATATAGCCGTGTCTGACGATGTGCGAAAATTGTCAAGAGGTGGAATGGCACAACACTCTAGAAAATGCAGTGATCATTACATAGTATTAACCACTATACACACAAACCAGATACGTAAAAAGATTGGTGCTGCCAAAAGAACTAATTGACTTGTGTTCAGATAATCACTGGAACAAAAATTCACTGCTTCTGACATAGGAAACTTTAGTGATTGATGTGACGAAATAAGGCGTCAAAAAGAAAGGTACAGTGAAGAAATAACGCGACCAAGCATTGCCCTGAGGTCGACTCCCACCTGCTACATCTTTGGGAAGTAAGGAGAAGCCTCCCGAAAGTAAGGAAAAGACAGAAACGTAACCGTCAATTAAACGCAAGAATCGGAGATATCACCCAGCGTGCAGAAGAATACATTAATCAACTAGGTGCAACTAATTGGGTCAATTTCTGGGCTTCACTCAACGGAACGTTGAGCACGGGCAAAACATGCAACATACTGAATGCCATGATAGACCCCACAAAGGCAAAAAATGAAAACAGTAAAGCTGTTGAAAGATTGCTGCACTCATACCCTGGTACAAAAGAGGACCTCATTCAAGCCATGCATAAAAAAATGCTTTGGGGAAGACGGAACGACGCCTTCATATCAAGGAAGGTATAAAGAATAACCGCAACCTGATTGAGATAAGCCTTTTACGGACGCTGACATAAGAGCAGCCATATTTAGTAACAAGTGCAGATAAAATCACCAATGGTATGATCAGGAATCTAAATGACGAAGCCATTGAAGCTCTCACAAAATACATAAACAAACATTGGCTCGCTAGAACTGTTCCACCAAAACGGAAACATGCGATTGTGGTCATGGTGCCTAAACCAGAAAAAAAACTTGCCAATGAAAATATTAGACCTATCTCGCTCACATCCTGCTTAGGAAAAATCTTCGAAAAACTGGCGAACACTAGACTGGTGAACACCAAAACACCAGCACCATCCCCCCCCCCCCCCCCCCGCCTCCCTTATAGAACGTCCTCCTGAAATAGCGACACTACGTGGGTGCACAATCAAGACATTAACACAAATAAAATGTTAATGCCATTGCGCTCCTCATTACCACTATTTTAAAAAAAATTACCTGCTTTCGAGGGTTGTACTTTTCGGCGCGACGAGGCACATCGAGCTATATTTACTGTTGTGGAACAAACGGACCTGGCCACCAGTTTATAGTCGGATTTTAAAATTTTTTTTACTTATACTTGTCGAAGTCTTCATCATTCTTTCTTTACTTCCCTCTCTACTTTCCTCTTTCTTCCCTCTTATCTTTTTCTTTATCATCGCGCTGTACTGGAAGTATAGCTTCTGATCACTTTAATCTCGCGCTATGTAATGATGTGTACGGAGAACGTATGCTTCAGTTCACAGGAATAAAGACCTGGAACACATTCTGAACAGCAGTCATTTATTCTGCAAGCTTTCCTAAAACGATGAAACAATATTTTCCTTCTTTGATACAGACAGGGTAAACTATAGAAGCTGTGTTAGTATTGTAGAAGGTTTCAGATTATGTACATAAATGGTTACTGCTCTTTATATGCCCGCGATAGTGTTGTCTAATCAGGTAACATATGCTCATAGTTCTGTCACTATTCTCATAAAGTACGAATTTTTCAAGTCACCTGTAGTCATTCTTATTGCTCACTAATTGAAATGTGATGAATTTTTCTATTTCATAGCTTCTTGATTATTGGCACCGTATATTTTCATTGTATCTGTATGTAGCCCGTATACTTTGTTCTTAGGTACTCCATTGTATGATCCTTGTTGGTTGATATGATTGTTTACTATTGATTTCATTAAAAATTGTTATATTTATTTATGTTTGGGATATTACCACGTTTTTTATTTTCTTCCCTACTGTGCTAGAATCTTTCTATAGGTATTATTTTTTCGCACCTTCAACTAGCCTTTGACAATAGGACCGACAAGTGTTTGCTATCTCTACACAGATTACGAAGGTAACATTCATTCATTCATTCATTCATTCATTCATTCATTCATTCATTCAATCATTCACTCTATCATTCATTCAATCTATCATTCATTCATTCTATCATTCATTGATTCATTCATTCATTCATTCATTCATTCATTCGTTTCTTTCCTCTGTTTCTTCCCATTTTTCAGAAAGAGTGTGCAGGCATTGTGCCCCTATAGGTGGCAGTTGCCAGCTTGCTCTCTCCCTTTTTCCTCTATGTCCTTGTGTATCCGTGTATGCAAATCAAATAAATAAACAATAACAAAAATGTCGGCCAATATCAATGGTCAGTTAAAATAATTTCATATTTATTGATGCGTTAAACATTTATGAATTCCCTCAGTTATAATCTATTACCTGTACTCGCTCTCTCTCGTGCTATCGCGACGTTTCTTCCCGCTTCATCACATAACGTGTTCAAGATTGGGCTCTCATCAATCACTTCTTTTTTTTTTTAAGCCCACCATCTAGTGTGTTGGTGGATTTCTGCAGCCCCCCCAATATCAGGGCACTCAGAGTCTTTAACCTTTTTTTTTTTTTGTTGGATACACACTTTTTTTACTGACTCCTTATGATTCGCACCAAGATAATCGTGTCTGGAAAAATCTAGCGAAGCCAGGCATTGAACTTTAAAGAAATATAGGAAAAAGAAAACGCTGCGTAAGTACATCTTGCAGCAAAATTTTGCAGGACATGAAATTTAAGAGAAATCTATAGCCCCCCTTGATCTGGGAACAGAGCTTCCAAGTAATTGCTCCAGATTTTAGTTCTTTATTTTTCACCTCTAAAACACAGTCCGATGTTTACCTTTTTTTTTCTGTAAAATTTTGAAAGTGAGAGTTCTATCGCAACATGTCTCACGTAATTCACCGCGTCGGAATTACCTTGAGCCACCGGAGCACAACTGAGTAAGGTGTGACGTCCCACAACGAGAGAGGTGCGCTGCAGGAAGACCACAAGGGCACGGACCCTCGTCGCTGTGGTACCACACGACCAGACAACTTTGTAAACCACCAACAGACCACCAATACAATGTTCCTCTTCGTGCCCTTCTGCTGTCACTAGCGACCGTCGTGACGTCAGCTGCTGGATTAGGTGATGTCACGAGCAACAGATGCTGTGTGTTGGTGAGCCATAAAGTGTTCAGCTGCTTGCTGAGGAAGGTGGATATGTCACTTTACAATCAGCACGATGTTACGAGGCGGACGTAAATTATGCCGTACATCACTTCCATGCCAATATTATCATGTTTGGACGTGTCATTTAACTTCATCGTCTATTCACGTCACGTGATACGAAAGTTGGTATATGTGGAGCTAGCAAAACGCCCGCGAGCACGTTATGAACGTAGCATGTAGTCATGTTTTACATGATACGCATGAGATGATTATCATGTTCGTACCACTCACATACCTTAGTCATCCATTCACGTCACGTAACACCGGATGCGGTATATGTGAATATAGCGAAACAGCCGCGAGCGCATCATGAGCGTGGCATGCAGTCATGTTCTTACATGGCACACATGTCATGATTATCACGTTTGCACCAGTCATATACTTTTAGTCATCTATTCAAGTTACGTAACGCCAAATTCGGTATATCTTAAGCTGGTGAAACGACCGCGAGCGCACTATGAGCGTAGCATGTAGTCATAATTTCCATGAAATGCATGTCATGATTTCCACGTTAAGGTGTGCTCGCAGTGCAGTCATGTAATACTATATAAGTTTTGCAATATCTCATGTGAACGAACCCATTGCAACAGCATGACCATGAAATGTAAATCTTGACAGTCTAGACACATATGTCATGCTTTTCATGTCATGACTAGTCACTCATGCTCGTTATATAGTCATGTTATGCCATACCAATTTTGGTATCAGTACCATTATGGAAACGGCCAGGAGAGATAAAAGCCGTAGGGGGCTAGATAGATATAGATATATAGACAGATACGCTCAAAGTCACCGAAGTTCACTAATAAATGCTTCGCCTTTAAAATACTCTCACAAACTTTGCCAAGTAGGTTAGCTAAACTGCGTCCTTGCTAGTGAGCCCGGCGATGGCACCATGGCTCAAGAAGTTAAGGTAAAAACTTCGATTTCTGTTACAAATACGGCTCCGTCTTCGCATATCAGGGTCACCGACCAAGCTACGACTCCTCCTCCACCGTGCCCTTGGCCGGGGCAATCTTCCTGGACATCGCTTCCCTCCCTCTTTGCATCGTCCGCAAACGTCGTAGCATCGGTGAGGTATCCCCGAGCATCACCGCCACAGGAGGAGAAAGACGAGACAGAAACAGCGGGAGGAAGACGCTTCAGTTGCGGGGTGAAGGCGAAAGTGGCGCGACTGTCAAGGGTGCGCCCAAATAACAGCAGGAAGGGAGGGAGCACGCGGAAAACGAGCAAAACAAGACAAAATGGTGAAGTAAACAACAGAAAGTTACGTGTTTAATACAAAAGAACCCTGCGGAACTCTCGCGCCTGTCTGGAGGAGGTGAGGAAGGAAACGAAGCAGGTTGAATGTGTGAGTGAGGGAGAATGTTATGTTGTTTCGCGAGCAGCGGTGGAGGGGGTCGCGGCGGTTGGCAGCATCAACGGACAACTGACGTCTTCCCTCTCTTTTGACGAAGGAGTGGAGGGAAAGTCGTGGCTCGGGGCTCCCTCGTTGCGCGAAGAGGCCTCGGGGAGAGAGAGGAGGAGAGCAGCCTGAGAAAGAAGCTGAAGCGCAAGTAGGAGAGAGAGAGAAAGAGAGCAGTCGGCGTCGTACTCCGCCGCCGTCACACGCGTGCTCGGGGTCGCCCTGCCTCTGTCTCTTCTCTCGGCGGTTTCGAGCTCCGTCGGCGCATTCCCCGGCGTGCCGTTCTTTCAGGCCGTATGTCTTAAAACCGGCGAAAACAACGCCGGCCGCTAACAGACGCTTTTCACTTGCGCCGACTGCGTTGGCGTTCCCGCGTGACGTCTTCTCGTTGAAAGTGCTGCCTTCGTGCCGCCGCTAATTGTTCCACCGACAGCTGTCGATAGTCGAACAAGAGCCGTACACTCTGAAAAGGTGCCGCAAATTAATCCTCTGGTAGACACGCGATGGATATCCGCGGCAAGTGAAGCTGCACGCTGCGTGTCCGTGTGGCCGTTCTGATGCGTGTCTCCTGGCAGTGATCCGTTTACAACGGCAGCATGGACAGGACGACTTCTCAGCTATAGGAAAACTGGATAAGATTTTGTACTCCAGGAACGACATCTGCACTCAGCGTCGGATTTCACTGTACCGAGTGAGTACCCCGGTTTAATTACACGTGCCAAATTCAGGCACGCCATGAGTGTTAGACTGAGTCCACTAATGTGGAGATACACACTTACGAATGACAGAGCAAGGTGTATATTAGAACCGCTAACTTGTGGAACGTAAGGGTTACCCTAGGGTTCATTTATATATATTGGCATATCATCTGCGTATCGCTGCAAATGAGTCGTAACCGTTCTTGCTGCAAAAACATTCTGCCAGGTGTTTTTTATTTATAGCGCACCATTATCCAATGCATATAGACCAATGCTAATTTTATGATACGAATAAGGCCGTGATATGGAAAGACACCGTGGTTAAAATCATGATTGTATTCCTCTTCTTTCCGTGTAGTCCTACCTAATTGACAAGACAGATCTGAATACGTGCGAAAATACGCTATCTAAGGCTGGCAACTTACCATTCGTGCTTGTCTTGGCCAGCAGAAGCAGCAGGGTTTTAGTAGCACTGCAATGCTCGCCCTCGAATATGCTACGCAGAAGGGTGTACTTTCACCTAGTCTTGAAATTTGGCCATGTACTTCTGCCTCGAAGTCGAAGAAGGCAATGAAGACGTTGCTGACGTGCCTAACGCCCCCATATTATTTAAAGCAGCCCAAACTACAGAAGAAGAAGTAAACACTTACAACGCTTCCTAGTGTGTACTTCTTGTCCTGTAGTTTGTACTGCTTTAAATGATATAGAACCATGCCAACGGGCTCAGTTATCGACCTTGCTGCCTAATGTCTACTTATTTGCGAGACCGCCTGTTGGTCTGATGTGCGCGCTCAAGTGGGCGCGAGATGCTTATTGTCTATGTATCTCGTTCCATCCCGATTTTCGCCTCTTTACCATTCCCCCAGTGTATTGCAGCCAACCAGGCGTGTGTCTGTTTAACATATCTGTACTTTTTCTTGCTTCTATATCGCTTCTTTTAAATTGGACACAAGACAAACACCGAAAAAGAGCAAAACCACTGATTCTATCATTTTGCTTATTGTAGATGACAGCGCATGGCAAATAATTGACGAAACGAAGAAATGAGACGCTCAATGTGGAAAATTAGTTCCTATGATGCTGACAAAGCCGATTAAGGGCATGAGAAACAAAGCTGATCATGCAGCCGGCTTGAATAAGAGGCCACAGCACCGCCGCGGTGGTCTAGTGGCTAAGGTACTCGGCTGCTGACCCGCAGGGCGCGGGTTCGAATCCCGGCTGTGGCGGCTGCATTTCCGATGGAGGCGGAAATGTTGTAGGCCCGTGTGCTGAGATTTGGGTGCACGTTAAAGAACACCAGGTGGTCTAAATTTCCGGAGCCCTCCACTACGGCGTCTCGGATAGTCATATAGTGGTTTTGGGACGTTAAACCCACACATATCAATGAATAAGAGGCCGCAGAGGGTATCCAAGGGTATGTAATCTTGGATATTTCTCTGCGCACAACCCTGCTGGTAGAATCCGGCGAACCAGGTCCTCATGCTCAGATTTGGGTGCACGTTAAAGAATTCCAGGTGGTCGAAATTTCCGTAGCCCTCCAGTACGGCGTCTTTCATAATCATATGGTGGTTTTGGGACGTTAAACCCCACATATGAATCAGGATTCGGTGAACCCGTGACCACGTCTTAGCAAATAAAGCACATACTTTCGGAATCACTGTGTGCAATGCAGAAAAGAGCCGTTGGTTGGCAGTTGAGACTTCGTAGCTAAACACCTGCTAAAAACCCTTGGAACATGAAAGGTTACATGCTAATGGTAACTACGTAGTCCAAAAAATGCGGAACGGTGTCATAACCACAGGGATAGTCATAACCAGAGTAATTCATAGTTATAGCTATGATTGATGCTAGTTCATGCTATCGGGCAGGTCTAATACGCAATTAGGTAAATACCACCATGATTGCGATAGCCGCATCAGCTAGGTCGGTAAGATCATCGCCCGCGTAATCCGGTAGATGTTAAATTGGCTGCCATGGGCTTCCAATTTATTTAAAGTTTGGAGCACTTTAGCGGCACGATTTGTCGTTCATCCATCGTTCTCACCTGGCGTGATTACGCTCAAAATCATGTGGTCATTACACGACTAAAACAAGCTCATCAGTACTCAAAAGCGAGTTAACCTCAACGAACGAAGTCAAAACAACCGTGCAATGGGAATCGTTGGATGCCCGTGCTACGTTCGCACACCATTTGGTTTAACAGTAGTGAAGCTCCATTTAGCGCATGATTTAAAACTACTCCAATAAGTGCACAGGAATGAAATTAACACTGGGGGTAAAATACCTATAGTGCGCATGCAAGCGAACGATTTTTCGTCTTCATTATCGCGTTGAACAACTTTATGTAAATTGTTTTTCCAGTACAAATAACCTCCCCTATACTTTACTTGGTCCGACGAGACGGAATGAAGGCTTCAAAAGAGCAAAGTCTCTTCCGTCCCTTCACGTTTTTTTATGTATGGACTAACAAACTTGGCATTCCCTCAGGCACGCGTAACTTCACACACTAGGGCTTTCAGCCTCATGGTGATTGCCCGCATGCGTTCTTCACTTTCCGTCAAACTTATTCCGCCCGCAAACGTTGGCGGAACGCGAAATTTCCGAGAAAGCTTTATTTCCTCTTCGTCTGAGAACACAGCCTCCGGATAGATGTTCCAGCCTGCAGTAGTGCATTCATCCGATGGCAGCTATCTGCTAGGTTAGAAGCGCCATGCACTAACGGAGCAGAAATAATAATTTTTTGGTTCATCCCACGTTCCCTCAACTTTTTTGGGTGGGTGCAAGAGCTGTAGTTTAAGTGAGATGGAAAACTTGGTTAGTTTCGCGCGACACCACAGACATGGACTAGAAGTGGATATGGTGCAGCGCTGTGCCATGTCCATTTCTAGTTTACACTTATGTCTGTGGTCTCGTGCTATTAGTCTGAATGTTCCAGTTTGTTCACGCTAGCCGTCCTCGTGTGTCCTGAGGGGAAGCCTCCCTTAATATGTTGCAAGGGTCTCGATAACGCTATCTCGCCTCAGCCCCAGAAAGCGAAAGTGTTGCGTCGGTGACACTTTATGATCCTCTCTCTTCCGGATGTTGCAACGGTGGGAATGACGCGGGGCACATGTAAGGTGATATGGGCAAAGGACGGGTGTCGGGTCGGCCGATTTCTTTCGGTGACTTCCTCCTGGCCTTTGGCAATGTGAGACTCGACTCTCTTGCGATGCCGTCGCCGCTGATATGAGTCGCGTCGTTCTGCTAAGTGAGTGACGAAACACTTTGTGAAAGCCTTCTTTCAGCCGTTTGTTTTTGGAGAAACACCGTGGCGTTCCCATTATCGCAGGATCTGCTCCATGAGCGCTGACTTTGAAAAAAGCTCGTACATCTTGATAGGTATATTTGCTGAAAGATATCTTTATGCAGCACGAAAAGTCGGCAGTTTACACCTGGTCAACATCTTGACCACCACACAAGAGAGACCAGTACAACAACACGGGCGGTAAACTGTTTTATTCATAGAAAGACGTCGCAATATGTAGTGCGTTAGGACGTAACTGTGTCTGCGCAGGTCATAACTCGCTGTATAACGCTGCGCCGTTCCCGACGGTTTCGCATACGCTCAAAGCCACGAATGCTCTCTTGTGCTTTTTTAAGGACCACAGGACTGCAAGAGCGTTTGTGAAAGAACAGCGTGGGATTACGCCGTATAGTCTCGAGCTGACTATTTATCCATCCGCTTTTTACTCTTCCTTTTTTTTTCTCTATCTCTTTTCATTCTATAATTGCTTCTATCTCTCACCCCAAGTGTAGGGTAGCCACCCGAGCCAAGCTTGGTTAACCTCCCTGCCATTCCGCGCTCTCTCTACGCCTTTCTACGGAAGAGCTAATCGAAAGTTTACTGCCCTTGTTCGCGTGTATACCTCCCACTGTCCTCGTCTTTTTTTTTTTTCCGCGGTGCCCAAGATGTTGAACAACAAGCTACCGCAAGGCCATCCTCAAGTTTTCCTGATTTCCATCTGGACTGTTCATAAGCATGCGCAAAGATTATTCGGAAGTGAATACACAGTGTAAAGACAGATGTTTAAAAAAACTTTAGAAAAAGAAATATGACTAGATTCAAATATGGCAAATTAAATAAAACAACATTTCTATTTTTATTTCATGCTTCCACAAAATTCCACAAAACCAACCGTGGATATCGAATGCAACTGTCAATAACAAATAAAAAGAAGTGTCTCTGGCTCTCTTTCTCTTTAATATAATTGCGTATAGCGCCTTGCACACATCACCCCGGCGTTGCGAGGGGCCGTCATATTGAAAAAGACCTAAAACCTATCGAAACAAATCGAGGAAACATCTAGTGGCAACATAACAAAAAATCGAGGTAGCTTCGCCAATAATGAAGGGTGTTCTGAGGGGTGTAGCCTTCTTTGTTTCTCTTCAATTCTCTCTTTCTTTTCCTTCTTCTCTGCTTTTTAAATTTTTTATTTATTTCCATTTATTTATTTCCCTCTCTTTATTGATCGCTTTCTAATCATTGTGTTTCTTCCTATTTCTGTTTCATTTATATTGTGCTCGGTTTATCTTTCTTTTTTACCTTATACTTTTATACGTGATTTTGACTCCGCTACGCCGTTACGCCAAGCGACAACAACAGCGCACTGCAGCTCCACCTCCTGAAGTGCTCCGCCAATAAAATGCCAGCACTGCCCACGGCCATCCGAGTCCTTTCCGAAGTGAGAAATCGCTTAAAGGTTCCTCCGTGCAATATAGCTTACTCGTTTTTGTGATGTCAAGTGATCGTCAAGTGTTTCTGATAATTGACTTTGCCATAGAGACACACGTTTCGTATGTCGCTGCTTTTAGATCGGAGACTTGAATGTCCTCGTGATTTCATCCAAAAATTCTGCCGTCGTCATTCAGCTAAGCGTGGTTTCTTTATTATTACGGTTCGAGCTGAAGCCAGATGGCACGCCTGTTCTTCCCCCAGGTGATGTGCAGGTGCGCC